TCTTCTGTTGCTGGCAAAACCTCGATATCTTCGGCCTCGTCCTGTGCATCTCCTGCATCATCGTAGGGCTCGTCATCATCTAAATCTCCCTCTACGTTTTCCTCCACATCTTCCATATCAGCATAGCCATACCCGTCGTCATTGTCCATGCTTAAAACTATAAAGCTAAGTTTGAAAATGTAGCAAACTTTAAAAAGCCAAAGCAACTGGCTGGCCTAAACTAAATTTTCAAAATGAAATGTGCGTAATCTCGTTTTCAGTACGAGTTTGAAAAATGACAAAAACATGGCGTTGTTTTTCTCGTGGGTTCGTGGGTTCGTTTGAGGCTTTGAGTGGTTCATTGACGACTTGAACTGCGTGCTTTACGAAAGACTTATCTGTAAGGATATTGTTTTGTTTTGAATATAATTATCTTTATTTTTTTATGGAGAAGTGGGCCGTACATGCTAAGCCTTTTCATAGCTGTCATAACCCCCAAAATTTAGAATTTTTCACCTCTAAAACTTGAACACTGACCTTGTAAGTGGCCCTGCCACACTTTTCAGACTAGGGTATATTAATGCTATACAAAATAGAAATCAGTTACTTTTGTGCAACCAATGCAACATAGCAACCTCTACCAGTCAAAAGCACAAATTAAGGTTACGGTAAACGTTTTGAACACGAAAATTGGTTTTTCCTTCCTAAAGGCCAAACGGCTCAAGAAATCTGGATAAACTATATATCATTCGATGCACAAGATTATGGCGTATCTAGCCAGATAACAATTATTGGCAAATAATGTTAAATGTTATTTTCCATGCGAATTTACTTGTCAAAAAGTGTACCACCTTCAAAAGCTATTATGTACCCTTGCATTTGAGGTAACAAAATCTGACTTAGACCAGCAGGAAGTGCAGGTCCTAAGCTACCAAAGTGTGTCTCAGATTTTTTAAATTCCTCCTCTTTATGAAACTATACCCTGTCAAAAATTGGCAAATAATTTTTCCACCCTCCCGCAGCTGTATTTGGGTATAAAAGACGGACCAGAGAAAATAAAAAAATTTTGAGACACACTTTGTTTGCCCAACGTCTGCCCTGGCCGTGTGCAAATTTTCAAGCCATTCGATTGGTTCCTTGGGTACATAATAGCTTTTTCGTACCTGCATGTAGAGGAATTTCGAGTCCGGAGAAAACGGGATTTTACTGATCGCACTTGCAAGATACACTCGTAAACCACAGTGTAATCCGGGTCAAGTCACTTGAAGATTTAAGATCAATAAGCCTGTTTAAATAAACACGGCCGTACATTGGATATATGGATGTGCCATGCGATATTGTAAATGAGACATGCGACCACAACCGCAAAGCAACGATAATCGGCTTAACAGGTCAAGAGATTTTCAGGCTTCAACTAAAAGTTTTGATAAAGAAATTATGGAAACCTTCGGTTACATGGGATTTTTTCCACTTTCAAAATTTCTGTTTGTTTCAAATTTGGTATCATTGTGTGCCTTGAAAGTTCGGCTACTTGAATGTGAAAAAATCGAAAAAATGATGTTTTCATCAAGAAAACGTTTACCGTAACCTTAAGAGCAAGCTAAGACTGAGCTACTATAAAGAGTAATTTTGAACATGCTTCATTTAAGAACATAGATTTTTTGTCATCTATGGGTGCTTTTTTGGTGAATTTTCAAACTTACTGACAAACAAAAATGTCTCACTCATTTTGTTGGCAATTTAGGCCTTAACACCTTTCTATAGCACTTCAGCTAGCAATTGCACTCCTTATACCCTAATGATTTAAGAACAAATTATAAAAAATCCAGCTTCAGATTTTTGAAAAATTAGAGCAGCCAACCTGAACTCTAATTTCTGGTTCCAAATAAAAAGGGTGTATCACTCTTCATCAAAAACATCTCACCATTTCTCAAACCATTTAATTGGTCCTTTGGAGATTTGATTAATCAGGAGTTTTCTGTATCTAAAATTAACACTCATTTCCATACTAGCAATAGCATATTACAAATGAATTCTTTTTTTAAAGTCATTTAGATTTTGGAATGCTTGTCATCTTGCCACTTTTTTGAGATATGGCCAAGTCACTGCAGGACACTCTGCACCAATGTCTTGAAGATCTGGAAAGATATTATGATAAGGGGAGTGATAAAGACATACAAGAAACACTGCAGAAAATATTTTGCCTCAAAGATGTAGATTTGTATTCATTGGTTCTTGCAATTGTCAAAGAATCCAAGCATGTTTATTATCTACAAAGAAAATCAATAGCTGAGATCACCCTCAACACCTTCAAAAACTGGCTTTTATCGAAGGTATATGAATTTATCAATTTCAATAACAGTATTATTAGATTAGTATTTAGAGTGACTGCTAAGAGGAATGTCTACCAAGACTATTAAGAACAATAGTACAGTAACATAAATTAAAATGCAACCAATACAGCAGTAAGGCTGGAACATGTGTTTCTTGGGTTGAGCAGGATTCTTTGGTTGCAAGAAAATCAAACTCCTTCAAAAACATTTTGGAAAATTTTTACAATTATTTTCCAATATTAGAACAGCAAACAAAAATTGTTTGATTGATAGAAGAATATGGAATTGATTTGTTTCTGTACATTGTTACCAAAGAAGCAAACCAATCTATCAACATTCTTTTCTAAAAACCTTAATTGTGATACCAGGAAAAATAAGGTGACATGGCAGGCCAAAGGGATTATTTTAGTCATAGTATATAAAAGTCTTCGATAGGGGTCATCGCCTTTTGGCATGTTCACAATATAGTTTTGTGTTTTCAAAACTTTGTCATTTTTTTCCAACGTGAACTCCCCCAAGATCAAGCCTGAAAATATTTGAATCATGTCTCATTTTCATTGAAAGTGTTTTTTGAACAGTATAACCTAACTCCACAATTTAAAGAATTAAGGTCTAATTATAGTCAAGGTCAAAGTTATAGAGATGAAACATTCGGTTTCAATTTTTGTAGATTTTGTTAATAAAATCGTATAAACAAAAGTTGATTGACATGAACATAAAGCCAATTGATATATTAAAGTTATAGATCAGTGAGTCTTTAGATACAATTTTAGAAGTATGTTTCATCTGTTAACAGGGTCGTAGCTTACTGTTGACTGATGAACACAAATATAATGCTATGGACTATTTGGTAAAAAGCGGAATCAAGTTTACTGAACAATTACGTGACATTTTTCAACTGGACAAAGGCATTGACAGAAGATTTTTAGTCAAGCACTTAGAGTATCTGTATGATTCAAAAAATGATCCCAAAACAGCAGCAATTGTGGCTATAGAACTCAAGCTGCAGGATTATATCAACCCTGAAGAGCTGCTATTGCCGTTAATTGCTTCTGACAAGTTTCAAGTAGCTGAGGCATTGTTGAAGGATAGTCGTATACTGCAGGAGCGTTATGTTGAGATGCTGAACAGACTGTGTGGCTTTAAGGAGGATGATTTGTTTGATTACATACAAAAGTAGGTACCTTGCATCATTCTAGGGCTCGTGCTAGCTACTTTGACAGATGCACTTGAGTGTTAGAGAGCCTTCGTCAATATCAGAATAGAAACTAAAGTTGTTTTCAAATATGAGGATAGAAATATGTTTTTATTCATTCCATTTACGATCCAAGCTAAAAACATGTATGTCACGCCCAATATATTAGGCATACAATAGCGGTACTTACGCCAAATTTCGACATTGCGTAATATTTTCAAAGTTATATAAAGCTTTTTATTCATTGCGTTCTCAAACGCGTTCACGTGGAATCCTTAGTATAAAACGTTTCACTTGTAAGCAGAAGAATTTAATTGCAGATTGAATTAGAAGCAAGCAGCTCTTTTGTCGCTCTTCAAATCCCCTCCCCCCCCCCCTCGATCCTTAAGGGATTGGTCTACGAAAAAAGTCGAATAAAATAGATTACAAACAGACAGAATAGAAAATTGTGCGTGAAAGCAGTTGACTATTTTTATATTCTAAGGTAATCTGAAGGGCATGGACGCAAAAATTTTCTTTCAATTTTCGGATTTTTATGCCAGCTCCAACTATTTCGATAATAATTGCATTAAGGGTGAAACTCGAAGGTGAAACTTAGATCTTTCCTGTTCTAAAAACCTTTTTTACAGCTATGCCTGTATGGCATCAAACAGACCAGTTTAAAATGTCATGCCGGATTTGAATGTAAGCAGATTTGTAACACGGGACTGATGGATTTCTTCTTGACACTGCTTCCAGATCAGCTGTGAGAGAGAGAGAGAGAGAGAGAGAGAGAGAGAGAGAGAGAGAGAGAGAGAGAGAGAGAGAGAGAGAGAGAGAGATTACAAGTATATCGTGTTTGGTAAAAATGGTTGATACTAAAGATACTAAAGATACTAAAGATAGCTTAGCATTCATAACAAACAAAGAACCGATCAAATGCTCCATTCTTCCTCTCATGTTCTTTTCGGTCCGCCTCCGGGTTTAAATTTCTCCTTACCTTTCGTCATTATCCGACGTTCAAACTCGGTGGAGTGTCGGACGTAAAGCACTTCTTTAGTATGCTATCGCTCCAGCTTCCCTTGCCGTCTTTAACTGAAAAGACCTGCGCTGTTCATTTTTGAAGCACAATTTAATTGCACATTATTCTTTCAGTAAGCGTCGTTTAAGCATCGTTGATAAAACGAAATTCACGTCAAAGACGCTGACAAAGATTTCAGAGAAAGCTGTAAAGAGATATGGCCTCGATCCAGGTTTGTGTAAGACTTTAATTAGATTGTGAATATTGCCCTACATGTATCATACAAACATACTGTACCTTGTAAAATAGACCTTGCTCCATTTTTCTTGCTTTTTGGTGCATATTGTCGTGAGCTATAGATTTTCTTTGCCTTTCCAGCCGCCACTTCTTAGTATTGTTATATGTTTTCGATATCCCGTCGACTGTTATTGCAGTGCAGTACCTTTTTGCATAATCTACTCGTCCATATACAGTTTAAAAAGCATATTCATGATTTTTTCTGTAGTCTTAGACTCGAATATTGAAGTATGTTTGTAAAAGCACTACAGTTTGTGAAGCAACACATGAAAAAACAGCTGTTTTTTCGTTCTATTATTATCTTGCTTTACCCTATCTTCCAGACTAGGTTAAGAAGCAACTGAAAAATTATTTGTTATGTTCACTTACACTGTTTGTATAATGGCATTATAAGTTGAAATGGTAAACATATTTATATACAGTGGTTGTTTTGAGAATTCCGATAGGTATAAAAGTATTATGCTTGTTGACTGTATTATCTTGTTATTCATACCATTATTTTTCAGTGAAGTTTCCTAACATATTCAGGAAGAAGAATGTCAGCAGCTTGCGATACTTGGTCAGTCAGAAATATAAATCGGTAAGAACGTTTCAAAACTTCGCTCCTTGTTGCCCGAAACTAGTTTTAAATTAGTAGATTGTCTTTGCTTTTGTAGTAAAGTTGTTTGCTTGCCAATCAATTATATGATTTTTTCCTTTTATAAACCTGTGGATTGGGTATATCGTCGACATTCGTTCACTTTTGCATCTATGTATTTATTGACTTCTTTGACTTCTATGTCTTTTAACGCAGCGTCTATTCTAATGTTGTATTCACCTCAATTCAATTCAATTTTATTCGTATACTACAGAAGTGAAATACTTCATTAAAACTGTAATATACACGACCCGAGAACAAGTATGTACTTATCTAGCGTGGCAAAATTATAATTAAAAGCATAACAGTAATTATAATAACAGAAAAAAGGTTGGTTATATACTTGATAAACTGGAACAAGATTTAGTTTTCGGAAATTTAGAAATTGATATTATGATACTCAAGTTTGCTATACTAATATATTAATACATTAATACTAATATACTAATATATATATTAATACATTAGGACTCTGAAAGAAAGACTCTAAAGTTTACTACATTACTACATTTGGAAACTTCATTGCATATGCCTGCCAAAAAAGTTTCATTTACTGCTTGCACTTTTTATCAATATGATCACATTTAATGTCAAATACTTGCTAACCATTATTTTTAGCATACGCCTTTAGCCATTCCACATATTTATGTTCAGCTTGAATGTTGCTGGTAAAACGTTTTTCTAGAGAAAGGAATCTTCTGTAAAACGTTTAGTTTCCATGTTAGTAACATTAATTTCAGTACTGACGAAATATTGTTTCCTTTCCTTTGCAGCCCGATTATGAATTTTCAAAATGGGATGGACTAATTAAGGTATCAATCGTTATTTTATTTGATCGTTGTTATTTTTTACCAATCTTTTTTTTAGAATTGGCCAATGGTAAAATTTTCTGCAGTGGTAAAAGGCACAGCTATATAAATTGTTTAACACATGCATTAACGTAGACATAGGAAGCATGTTAAAAGTGTGGGGGGGGGCACATGTAGTCAAAATAAGGGTACCTCTGTAAGCTGCAAGTTGGCACTTTACAACTGTTTCTAAAAAGTGGGATGCATGTGCTCCCTGTGCTCCCTGGTTCCTACGTCCATGTACATTAACATCAATATTATTTGATCAAGAAGAGTTTGTACGAGAAATCATACTGACTTTAATTGTAAGGAGCGTAGTCCAGATACTTTTCTGTGATTTTACCTCATTTTTATTTCGTCTTTGCAATATGGTCTGTCGATAATAACACAATGATATAGTGATGACATCACAAACATAGCAATAAAATCTCCGATATGCGGGCAGATCGGGTGATAACTTTCTTTATAGCTATAAACCTGCTTCACGACTGGAATTAAGTCCATTTTTATTACACTGTCTGGTAAGAGCATTTCGCATCTCTGGGAAACGAATTGATATCAGATATTGTACTCAGTTTTTCCTCAAATAGAGCTCTGAAAACTGGATTACCGCCATTGTATTACCTACTCTGCAAGGGATGGAAAGAAAACTGCCCTTTCAAAATCACTAGGCTAATTTCAAAGGATTAGGAGTGTATTGCGAAAAGTTCCTTTCAAAAAGTGCATTGACTCTCCCGGGGGGCTCATTTATTTTTCGGTCTTTTAGAGGGAGGCTAAGAAGAGATGGGGGCTGAAAGAGAGTGGGGCTAATGTAGAAAAGTCAATATGAATAAGCAATTTCTTGGTAAATATGTTATTATTGTACATTAAATCTCAATGCAAATAGCAGAGTTAGTCTACAATGGTATCTTCATCTTGATCTGAGCCAATCAACAATCGGAAGGGGGGGCTAAAGGGTGAGGGGGTTATAATATCCCATATCAGGTCGAGTAGGGTTTGGTCTTGTTAAAAACAAGTCTCAGGCTGGCTGTTTGTCTTTTGGGGCTGAAAATATAGATTTTTTCATAGTTATGGCAAGAACTGATTCTATATTCTGCAATAGGGAAAATCTGCAAGAGGGCAATTATGTAGAAATTGTATCGGCAGCAGACACTGCGCATATCAAAGTGCTAAGAATGTTTTTACTTCCGAGATTATAGCGAGGTCTGATTTGCTATCTTTATTTACATCCTTGAAGAATCAAAGCAAAATCAATGTAATCAAATCAAATCACTGTACTTCATTTCAATTCAGGCTGCAGTTGCTAATGATACTTGGCTGCAGGAACAACTCATTTTCCTTCTGGCCTACCAACATCGTGATTCTCCATACGCTGCCAATCTAGCCAAGCACCTAAACATGCCACGTAACACGTTGCCGCCAGCTGTACGATTAGAGCTCGACCGAAAGCCAAGTTCAGATAGGTAGTTCATTCTTTATTATAACATTTTTCTCATTTTACTGTTCATTTTGCGAACCCTCTTGTTCCTTCTGTGCTATTGTCTAGTGTTGCTGCAAATAACTTTCGTTTGAGTCACAAGGTAATCTTATTTTCTTCGAAGTGTAGTGGGGGCTTCATAGATGGACAACGTTTGGACCAGTGCAATTGTCCGTTTTAAAAAGGTATCTTTTGAAGAGAGGTTCTTTGAAGAGCGTTTTGACCATTTGGGACAAAAATATCTGTCCGTTGTTGAGAAGTGTTCAAATTATTTAAGTTAGGCCTTATTTAAAGGTTTTTACAAATTATTAAAAGAGATCATTTGTAAGAGTGACAGTGCAGCAAGGATAGTCCTCACTCAACTCTCTTTATTATATGATTTGGATTTTATTTTAATAGTTCTCGTTTGTCCTTGTATTCATTCGGCTTTTTATCTTGCATTTTGCGTTTATCTAGCACGCTGTTTCTTTTAGAGCAGCCTTCTGGCACTTTTGCAGCTTTACTTTCGACAATCTATACCACGCTACTTCTTCTATGCCTGAAAACTAGCTTTTTCATTATAGCATACCAAGTTGCTTCAAACTGGTTCTTTATGTTTCTATATCAGCTTCTATGCTAAAAATCTTCACAGCTATCTCCCTTTTACATCTGCTAGGTTATATGCAGTGAGGTTTTCTTGGTAGTACAAAAAGTAAAAATGGTCTTTTTGCCGTTCAAAGCAATTATTCCGGTATTTTTAGGAAGGTTTTGACTTTTTAATCAGTGAATCGATAAAGATTGTTCTTGATTCTCGTGGCATAATCTCAGAGAAAATTTTTAGACATGCCTAGCTTGAACTCCCCATTTCCGATAGATTCTTCCCTATCTACATAAATTGGCATCGACCCCCTTGATGTAAATTAAACTAAAAGCATCTGTGGCAAAAGAAGTTTTATTGCAGACTTAACAGATACTAGAATGCAAAATGATTGTGAGAACGTAAAGAATCATGAAGTGACTATATGAAAGTGATAAAGTCTATCTGAGCACCAACAGAAAATAGGTTTTTTATGCGAAGTATGTCTCTTGTATACTACACAACATGCACTAGGGTATCAAAAGTATTGCACCACCTTGTTCAAAATGGGGGCACTTTTTGTAAACTTTTTGGCAATACAAAACATTTGGCAAGGCGTATTTTGTAGCAAATTTCGGCGGGAAAAGTTTGCAAATTTTGCGACGCCATAGAAAACTTGATCAGAAATGTATAACCTATGCAAACGAATTTTTGTCTGTAAAAATGTAGCCATGCCTGAGAAAATAAAATTGTCAAATTAGAGGCGAGTCGCTTTAAAATATTTTCGAGGAAGTGGTCTTTAATTTTTAAAAAAATGTTGACCAAGTAAGATGCAGCTACACAACAGCTGTGGGATATCAAAAAGATGTCTCGGGAGTGTTACAGTAGTAAAGAAACCGAAAAATTGGCGACCAAAAAAAGTTGATGTTAGAGGGGAAAGAATTTGTCTGTTTTATTTCGCTGCATTTACACCAAGAGACAGCAAAGGGTATGAAACTCGAAACTGCGCAAGGTTTTGCAGCTCAAAATCCGTCCACAGAAAATGTAATGATTGTTTTGCACAAATGCCAAAGGAAATGTTACCTGAGTAAACGAAAACTATTTTTATAAAGATTTATTTCCATACAGAAGAAATTAAAGCTTTGGCTTAGCCAGAATCAAGTCCAATTTTTAACATTACTAAAAAAGTTTGACTTCAAATGAAAAACGTTACAAACCATGATCCAAATGGTCGTCCGAAAGCCAGAGAATCATTTATTGTAAGACTTTTCTAGGCCTAATACGAAATTCTACAAGAATACGTTGCCCAAATTTATGGATCCATTTTGCGGTTTCAAAAGTTTGCGGCTACCCGTCAAATTATTGCAATTTGAAACTGTTAAAAGACGTTTTCTTCTGTTATTTTTAAAACAAATGCTCTAAATATATTGAAGTTTTGTTTTGCTTTCGACCAATTGCCGTTGGCCCTCTAAAAACAGAATTAATTTGCATAACAATAGCTTTCGATCATTCATGCGCCATTTTTCCTCCTTCGAGGTGTTGCAATACTTTTGATACCCTAGTGTAGAAGCATCAATTTTTTTCAGAGTTTTGCCATAAAATTACCATTCTTCTTTTAACATATAGAAGACTTACACGTAGAAGAATATCTTATCTCTAATTAACTATAACGAAACCCTGCATAAATTTTACAGCTACTAATATGTGAGCCCCTATTCGATGATTTTCTTTGGCTTTTCTTTAGAGGTTCTAGGTCTTTCAGATTGCTGCTTCTGATATTTTTTGGGGCTTCACATCTCGCTTTCTGCTTTTGACAATTTCTTATTGACTTGTAGCCGCGTAACTAACGTCTTCAATCATAAACTGTAATAATTTTGAAAAGTATTAAGGAAGTCGTTTTGAGAATTAGGTTTAACAATGGCTTATGAAATTGGCCTCAAATAAATCTTGGCCTAAAGATTCTTGTAAAAGATAGTTTGTTTCTGATATTTAGATTTTCTGTGTTTTCTTTCTTGGTATACCTTGTCTAAGGTCCCATTCTATGCCTAATTTCATCTCTTTTTGTCTTGAATAAACAATGCTCTTCCATGAAACTGGATACACTTAAAAACGCAAATGAATACGGGTACAAAGACAAATAGCAACAACAACAGCTTACGTGAATATATGAGTCGTATAGAATTCACAATGGGTGGTCACTATTACGAAAACTTTTGGCGATTACTCACGGCGATTATTCACGATTACATTTATTTTGGCATCAATTTGGCGAGCTTCTGTATGAAGATGAGGCTTCAACAGCATTTTGTTAGGGTAGTGTGAATTCTATCTTATCAAACTATTTAAATAGGAAAATGAGAACGGACAGTGTTTTACAATGCCAACGAAGGAAGCGAATGAGCAGTAGTGTAAGCGTGCATCATGTCTTAAAACAGCCGGTTTAAGTAAAATCTTAGTTAGCTTCAAGCGTTCGTAAGGTAAAACGCCGACTTTCACCCTTCATGATCAAGAGCACGTATGTGTTGGTTATTTTGAGTGAGACATTACAGGGTATTTAGAGGATAGAGGACTTTATATCTTCAATGCCTGCCAAAAGTACTTGGAACACCCACCATTTTACGCTGCATTTGATATCTTTCATTCCTTTCATGAAAAAAATTTGCTACTTCCGCCCCCTTCCCCCTCAAACAATGTTGATGATTTAGAGAAATATCATAAAAGAAGCGCAAAAGAAAGTGCTTCCTAAAATCCTCGTCCGTTTGATAGTAAACCAACATTGTTCCGTGGGGGAGAGGGGGATGATTGGTTTTGACCTTGGAAATTGATGTCAGTGTTCCAAGACTTTTGGCAGGCATCTTCAAGCGTTCGTAAGGTAAAACGCCGACTTTCACCCTTCATGATCAAGAGCACGTATGTGTTGGTTATTTTGAGTGAGACATTACAGGGTATTTAGAGGATAGAGGACTTTATATCTTTGCTTTGGTAGTTTCTTTGAAAGAGATCCAAACATGTTTTGTGCAAATAGTTAATACCCTGTTATCTTTGTGCATGTTTGGTCCAAGACGTGTGATCCAGCCCCTTTTGAAGCATGCCCCTTTAGACTTTACTTGGTGCCAAATTTTGCAAGCGGCCCGTCTTTGAAGGATCTGCCAATATACCTTATACAAATCAATAAAATCCTACTCTATTCTTCGATCTTAATGTGATTAAAAATATGTATCGATCGATTTTCCTCTGACTTGTGGCCAGTTTTTCTCGCCAGTTGTACCGGATATTTGTAGGAGGACAATTACAAAGAGGACCACTTTTAAAATCCCAATACTAGCAAACTGATTCCAATCGTATGACCACACGATGCGCTTCATGTTCTATGTGCATACATGGTTATCTGTTTTGAATTTTGTCACAGACAACAAGTGTATTCTCCCACGCCTGACCTTAATGCTGGCAAGGGACACCCTCTTTGAAGACGCCTCTTCCGATTTAGGATGTTGATCCCTAAAGGCTTAGTTTGATAATGTCTTTACGATGTATTGTTGCGTCGCATTTATGGTAGCTTGGAGGTACTAGGGGGTTTATAGGGGCAGTTAAAAAAGGAAAAACCAGAATTAATCAAGAATTACTAACTTCCTGCCGTTTATGTAAAAACATTAGAAAGTGACAAGGACAGCATGCCTGTAAATGAAGAAAAATACCAACTTCATGTGAACACTCCGGGCCATGATTCACAAACGTGGGCTGTGTAATTCTTTTTTCTTCAACCTTGACTCTCGTCTTTTTGATATTATGCTACGTCTAATGCTTTTGATTGAAAACCCTCTTTTCTCAAAATATGCGTGTTTTTAACAAGTAGCAGGGAAACCTTGCGCAAAGCTCCCAATAAGCCGTCAAACGTTGTGTGACATTCCATTATTTTACAATTTCAGAATGCAAGCTGCTTCATTCTGACTTACGACTAAGGTGAAAATAATAATTTTATTTAAAGTAAGTCGTAGACATATCACAACGCCCTCCTTTATCTCACATATTTCCTTCAGTTTGCAGACTGTAGCCAGCATGCCTCCACTTATTGATATGTCAAATGTGTGTGATGATGATTATGATGATTTCGATGACGATGGGTTCATGTTTTCGACTGATGACGTCAAGTATGATGAAACAAAGGAATGCCGACAGTCGCTTCGTGAGCTGACAGTTATTGAGAAGTACTGGTCGTACCCCTTACCCGAGGAAAACGTAAAATTCATCAACACTTGTGATGCTCTCCGGCAAAGTATTAAAGCTATTTTTAAGGTTTGTCATTTCTTGTTAAAAAATAAATGTTAAAGTTTCGACTAAACAGAGTTTGAATCCAGGCAGCTTTCTTTAAACACAATTCTTTCTTTAAACATTTTAAATTCTTTAGACACAATATCACTTCACCTTGAAAGTTTAATACTGGAAAAGAAGTAAAATGTCATTATTACATGAATACATTTATAAAACTAAAGCTGAAATATAATGACTTCCCTATCTACATAAATTGGCATCGACCCCCTTGATGTAAATTAGACTAAAAGCATCTGTGGCAAAAGAAGCAGCTGCTCTACCAGGGAGTTGTGTTTTGATTGCTTTGACTTCGTAAGATAATTTTTAATTGTTTTTTGTTCCCTTGAGCGTAGGGAGTTCTCTGATATTAATGGGAATATTATTCCAAGCATTTTTGTGGAATTTCACGAGTAAAAATATTTCTTGGTGTATTCAAGATTTTATCTTGAGTTTTAAAGGTTCTTCCTTTTCCTTGGCTTGTGCTTGAAGTGTTTGGTCGTGTGATGAAATTATTCCAAAAGCTTTCAGGAAATTGCTTTTTGATTTTTTGTATGCCCTCACTGCTCGATCAAATTTTAATAGCTGTTCAACGATCAACACGAATCGCTGAGACAGATCCATGTCTTCAGATCTAATAGCCTCAAAATGCCATAGCCTCACTTTCGAGGAGGCTTTTTAAAAGGATAACCCAATGGACAGGCTATCCCCTGCCTGCTCTACTTCGGGTCATAACTTTGGCTGTGGTCCTCGACGTTAGCAGAAAACGCGTGCGAATATTTAAACTCGTTTTTAACCGTCACCTCCCTCACTTGTTGGATATGAATGACCAAGAAAATTAAACAATTTTTTGTTTCAATTAAGATTCATACAAGGGACAAACTCTAAAAGTTCCCTCCTGTGCTTTTTCGTCACCACTGAAATCATGAGCATTTTTTTACGTTTAATTTATAGAAAATGAAGAAGAATATGTCCAATTGTCTTGAGCACAAAGTATATTTCTTATCGGAATTCTTTTACATTAGACAACCAGAGACCATTAATTCGTTGCACCAGTAGTAGTTTAACGGCCGTTCTTGTGTCATTTTTAGGTTTAATGAATGTTTTTACGTCACTAGGGTGGAAATATTATCGGGTTCGATGGTGAATGGCAACCAAAGTACGGGCGGGCAGGCCAGAAAGATAAGTGAGTGGTTTATCTATGGAAGCAATACTACAGCTCAAATATCATCTTTTTTGTAATACTGTACCTCAGAAGAGATTTTCTTACCTTTTGTAAGTTATCGTGTCTGTCGATGCTGAAATATTGCGGATGGTTTTAAACCCCTGGACGTAAATTGGTTTTACTGTTATCAGTGGCGTAGCCAGCGGGGAGTGTAGGGGAGGGAGGGGACACCCCCCCCCCCCCCTCCAATACTTCACGAATTCGTCGGTAAATCTTCAGTCGGTCTACAAAATCCAAGAAATCCAGTTTGTCGGTGAAGTCATCTATCAGTAGGTGAAATAGCACCTTAATTCTTCCCCATCTATGTTTCTTCGGTAAATTTTTCTATTGATGACACTCATCTATTTATGATTGTTTTGTCTTTTTTGCAATTTTACATGCGTGCTACACTTTATTTCCAAATGTAACATGGCTTCTGAACCCCCAGTTAATAGTGACTTCGTTAAACTTGCAGAATGGCAATCATGCAATTAGCCGTGAAAGAAGAAGTATATATCATTGATATTTTTGAATTCGATCGTACTCAAGAAGGCCAGGAGCTACTGAAAGTCCTTTTCAACAAGCTGTTTACTTCTGAAGATACGCTGAGGCTAGGTATTTTTTTATTTTCCTAGCACGAATTCTTTTCAAAGTCTTAAGTCTCATATCAGTAATATTACAATAGCGAATTCAGAGGGCTACCTAAGAAGAAAATCACGAGTTATAGAATTAGAATCCAATTATATGAAAAACTCCATCTAACTTAGCATCTCTTTTCCTAATAGAAATTTTTTGATGCATGCATGATACGTATATGCCTACTAACAGGAGAATTACTTGACAGCAAGGTGAAATAAAGGAATAAGGCTACATTAAAATTTCAAAAATTTCAAATGTGCAAGTCAGTATTTCAGAAGAACAAACCAGTATTGATAGCAATAATGTAATCATACTAGGTAATAAAGATTTGAGTACAAGTATATTTAAGGTGCGAATTTAGCGTTTCGAATGCCAAACAAAACACACGCAATAAGGTCACTTTTGCTGGAAAGAAAAACACCTCAGCCTCGTTAGTTCTGTTAGCGAATGGCATTAACAAAAACGTGATTCCCTCAAAATCGAGAAACTTTTTCCTTGTGCTCCTGATTTTACTGTCCCTGAGTTTTCTTATCACATCTACCTACACCGCAGTATCCATTTTCATGTTAAGCTGTGTCTAAAAATACTTCAGTCTCTGATGTCCATTGTTATTTCATGTCTAGCAGAGTATCAGTAGTTTTATCCAATCTTTTCTTATTCCCCACGGGCGAAATACCGTTGAAGGAAAATTAGTGGTAGCCAATTCCTGAACGATTTTGATCCGCTGTTTAAGTAATTATATTAAGTGTTCAATGTTTTTTCTTCTTAATTATGCCATTGCAAAGAAACGCCCCTATAAGAACAGGATGGCAAATTTCCCAGTGGCTGCTCGTGACAATTCTCTTGCGTTGAAATGCCGCAATAGATTCACTGAAACGCTGGACACTTCCGTTTGAGGTAATGATGAAAAAACAGCTCAGAGGAAGGGAAGGTATTAAAACTGATACCGCATCGGGGCTTAAAATAAGGAAAGAGTAAATTGATGGATAAAATAACTTATTGAAGGTATACTCCATTGAATGATTTTGCTCGTATTGTCATCGTTTTTTATACTCAGTCTAAAAAATACATTTTACAAAAACAAGATTACAAAGACGATGCCAATGGGAGCATGATAGGCATGGCTACACAGTAACCTTAACAAAAACAATTCAGTAGCACCTTAGGCTATACCAAAGTCCTGCTTAGGTCGCTCCTCAGGGATAATTGGTTTAGATCGGAAAATATAGAGGCTACTGCTTGAATAGAAGATTTAATTTGCACAGATTTTGACGTAGTTTTTAGTGCCTTAACTGAATCACACCAACAGTTTTATCACCCCTGTCGTTAATTAAATTTCCTCTCACGCAACTTAGCAATGCTATCCAAGAAGGGTCATATGCATAAATCCATAATGTTTCTTCAGTGCCAGTTTTCATATTATTCTATGAATATTTTCAACTTTCTTAGTTCCGTTAAGCTCTTTCTTTTTCAGATCACCACTATTCTTGACCACTCCAGCCCAAAATCCATCCCCTTCAGTCAATTCCGAATAGTGAATCACGCCCCTGTTACAAATTCTGTTTGTATGTTTGATCTTTCTCCGCCCGTGCAGACGGAGAATCCCACCATTAAAGAATCTACTTCACTGCTTATTTTGTATTCATGTAAACGTTTTATCCTTTTGTGGCCAATTACTATGATCGAGATTTGTTTAGTGATACCACAGGAAGCCCTGCGTACCAACCTGAGATCTTATGGTAAGGTTGTTAAGGAAGATACCGTTAATCCCCTTAGGGAAAAACAAGCAACAATTAGCGCTAATTTTGTTACTCATAATTGTATCTCCTGTTACGGATTACATCTGTTTAAAGAGATACATTTTTTCTTCAATAGAGATAAAGTGTTCTCTTTGATAGAGATAAAATGTTCTCTTTCTATGATATCATTTCATTGCTGATTTTTTTCGTACCCATCTCACAATGCTTTATTTCATTCGTTCTTTCCCACTTTTTCTTCCACTTTAATGAACAAAGGTTTTCTCTACATTGCAAAGCATCAATTCTGAGAGTACATTAGATTTGTTTTCAAATTTCCAATTTTCTTATGAAATTTTTTTGGACGACTCTTGGATTTCAATATAAACATTTTCTTATTATCAGACCAATCATTTTGACAATATCAAAATTTTATGGCCATACCTGAGATGAAAAATGCTATTCTAAAATATATTTTCAAGTCTATATGCAGCTGCTTTAATCTTCTTTGTCGTTAGGATATGGGATTGAAATGTAAATAGATAGATCGTAGCCTTAGCAAACTCCGAAAAGCTAGGCTAACAACCTTTGCATGCAGCAAAGTATTTTTAGCTTTGTCATTACCTGAAAGCCCCATTGGCTACGAAATCATGTGCAGTAAACATCCTTACGAAAACTGAGTGCATGTTTTAATTCATACATGCTACAAGCTCTCGTTTCAGTGCGCCCGCATCGTAGTAATGCGCCTTTACAGCAGTTTGGATTCTTGATTCAGTATTACAGAAACGAAGGCTTTTGATATGTCCACTTCTGCCGGTACGTTGATGGCAGAACAATGTTACAAGCATACTTACACATAACTACCTAATGTTTGACAACTTATTATTTGAACTTTAAGACTGGGCTAAAAATATGGAAAGTTAATCTGAAATGTGTATGTTTAGCCAAAATGGAGAAAACGTTTTTGCAGGAGGATGTATAGGAACGCTATTATTTAGCAAGAATTGCAATGGTTCCTATCTTGTCTGCTGTAACTTTCCACCGTTGATGCTACTTCGAATCTTATTTAACGTGCAGAGAACACGGAGCCAGTGAGAGAGACATTGTGGTGATATATAACTCTGATCTGAACTGAACTTGACTGAACTTGACTGACTGAATTACATACAAATTAATATACTAATATACAAAATAAATGTGCTGAGTAATGATGTGTTGTGATGATGTAATGATGATGCAATGGAGAAGGAAAGATAGACTTGGGAAGAAATCAGCATGACATAGATGTGTGAACGTGTGTACAATGGTGAAGGGAATGTCCTGTGCTAGGTGATGTTGTGAATGACCTAGGTGGATGTCATGGTGATGGCATGATATAGGAATATGGCCTACTACAGATGTTCCCTACGTCTGGGGTACTGGACCTTGTCTCCAGATAAAACTTTTGCAAACATCATTTCAAAGTAGTATTGCATTTATCACGCGCCACTGAACAGAAACCGTTAAGAAGTTATTACAATAAAAGTAAAATTGCATTCCGTGATTAATGTTGAAAATATCTAAACATTCCAAAACCCTAACTTTTACACCATGGAATGTACGCCTGTAATCAAATTTGCCTCCCTTGTTTTCCCTCACTTTCTCTCTTTCTCCCCTCCCTTTCCCTTGGTCCCTTTCTTCAAATTCCTCCTTCGATAAAGCTTCCCTTTTTCTTCCTCTGTTACAAAGTCCCCTTTTCATCGCGGACTTACGTTCCTCTTCTGCCCCATATAAGATTGTTAACAATCCCTTCCTTGCATTTTTATGTTTAGGAACCTATTTAACAGTACCACGGTTGTTAACTGTAGCTTTGCTGCCTCTGGTTTTCTCGTGTATAATATTGAATAAAATTGACAAAGATACACCGCTTTTATTTGCAGTACACTTAATTTTTCTAAGTAACTTTGCTTCAATTTAGTTGCTGATCCGATTCTTGTAATATTATTGTCGTGTATATGTATAAGTATCATTGAATTTATAAGGAGGAAATACCATTCTATCGTTTAAAATGCTTTTGGATTTAAAATAATTATCTTCTCTTTTTTGCGGATTATTTGGCACAATCCGGGAACAAATTAGGCCTTTATGGTAAATTTTGCGCTTATTTCAATAAGCTAATCATAAATCCGCCGAAAACGGGCAATAAAATTATGTCAAAGAATATTTCCCAATATAATTCTTTCTATAATTCTTTTATCTCATAATAATAAATTTGGATTTGGGAGAAAATATCTAGTTCTAGATCATTCCGCGGACTTTAATGGCTCCCACATCACAGACGTTAGTCAGTTTTAACTAATTTTCAACAAGACTTAGGATGCAAGAGGCGAAAGCTTCAATTTGAAGGTTTTTTGAAATTATTTTTGTGGACTATTAATATTTGCAACTCAACCATCTTTCACAAAAAATTGATTGTGCAATATACAGCACTTTGTCATTAGTTGCTTCATTGACAACGCAACACTACTGTTGAATGTCACTAATGTGTGATCATGCATCATGTTTTGAAATTGTAAACATCGTCCAGACACGCCATATCATGTCCCGCAATTGTTTTTTCTTTCCTATTTTCTATGAAAATTAGCTGCAAACTTTGTTTAGCATATAATTACGTCGACCAATCGATATCTTTATACCAATTATCTTGTAATCTAGTTGTCAAAAATAACTTCCTGCCCACCCTTACTAGGAACTAAGACTACGAAATTTTATTTCAAATGGAAAATTAAATTCTAGAAGATTATTTTAATAAAGATTTTCCAAGGTGAACCACAGGAAATCATAGCTGGTTAGAAGAAAAATCTTGTTAACATGTTGTTGAAAAAACAAACGCTTAGGAGATTTATAAGAAAGACCTGCGGCTATGGTTGAACTTAGTTAATTAGCAGCAGAGCAAAATGTTTTAGTGGTTTTTGAAGACATCATGTGATACGGTCCTAGGTTTTTGTAAAAATTTGACAGTGTAGTTCATTAAATCTTGAACAAGACTGTTTATTAATACAATTGTAACCAGTATTAATGATAGTTATACAATAACATGAATAGAACTACTGCACATGTAAAGCAACGATAGATATTGCATTATGGAAACTATTAGCTGCAAAGTAAACAAGGGGATTTATTTGCTCAAAAACAGTTATTGGTTATGAATTAACTGATGTACACTTTTGGACAATTTGATTTGTCAGGATTGTAGTTCCTGATCTTGGGCTCTTGGGCGATCAGTGTACATCAATTTATGGTATAGATTGTAACCTTTATGTAGCATTTGGCACTAGCAAAAAGGCACTGGCGAAAAAGTTTTTGCTCGATCTTGATATAAGCACAGAATAATCGACAGATTATAAGACTAATCACTAAAGAGTTTGATGACTGTTCTTCGAAAGTCGAGTTTATTTGCCCACTTTCTTTCTTCATGTTAAAGTTACTTCAGTATGATTGCCAATACTTAAAGCTTCATCAAACTTCTCTGTGAGCACGTTAGAAGCAAGTTTCATGTGACAATGTCCAACAATGTGTATTATAAAACAATCTTTTGGTTGCACAAAACTTGAAAATGGCTTTGAAAAAAGCAAACATTTAGTAAACTAAAGCTTTTCGTCTGACACTCTTCAGAGTTGAAAACGTCAGAACATAGATCATTGGTCAGCCTATACAGTCATGTGCTCGTGTTTCTGATTGGCCTATTTCGATCCACAACTGGGTATATATATTTCCTAGCGTAGAGTTTTCGATCCATGTTCTGACGTTTTAAACTCTGAAGAGTGTCAGACGAAAAGCTTTAGTTTACTAAATGTTTGCTTTTTTCAAAGCCATTTTAATGTGTATTATGCGAGTCAATTGTAGCCCTAGCTGTGATTTAGTTTCAATGTCTGCTAATTCTAGCCTGTGAATCACATGAAATTCAAAGCGAATGACACAAGGTTATTATTTGCTCCTTTGCTAAATCAATTTTCTTTACTGTAGGCTTCGGAATAGACAGTGACATAAAAGTCATAACTGACACATATCCATATGCCAACGACTTTCTGCGAAAAACAAAGAATTTTGAAGATCTTCTGTATCTGAGCAAACAGGTATATCATTCATCTCGTATTAATCGGTTTTGTCTCTCGTTGTAAATTTTTATTTATGTTTCCAATGTTTCTACACAATATGTATTTGAATATTTTGGGAATTGTTATCTAAAAAGAACCAGAGGTTGGCTCTATTATTTCAGCCTCTGTTCCAATAGATGCGCTTGGATAGAAGTGTCTTGAACACCACAGCTGTCTACAATACTTTATCCCCGGATGTATGAGGCTCTGGTACCCAAGGTAGCCTCTTCTGACCTTCACTGTGCACGAGCCCCAACTATCCTTATCAATTAGCTATTTTCTTTTTCCTGTCAAAACATTCCACTTTTAACAGATCCTGAAGCTGCCGTGTGTGATCAAAAAGCTTGGTTTGACAACGGCACCTGATAAAGAGAAGGGATTGAGTCAGCTTGTTAAGCAGTGCCTTGGAAAGCCATTGGATAAAACATTTCAGATCTCGAACTGGGAGCAACGGCCTCTGTCTAAGGAGCAGCTGTTATATGCAGGTAAAGCTTAGGGGTTACTATTCGACTTTATAGGGAGTGTCAAGCGTTTCATTCAACTAGATTCATTGCTAGCAAAGATTCAACATATTTCTCATGTTTGGGCTTTATCGCAAAAAAGAAAATAGCGATCAGAACAAACCATTTAATCAATCAATCAATCAGTAAATCGATTGATCAATGATACTTAGGTAACTCGGTACCTTTAATGTGTTAATAAACCATAATTAAAAACACACATACACGATCAAACATTTTTCTTAGAATTTTCGCTGCCCTTCGGCAGCCTCCTCAGTAAGAATTAAGTTAGACTCTAGCGTTCTACTAAAGGTCGTTGTGTTTTGGCTCGATTGATTTGTTGCGTCGAACTTTATTTTTTTTGTCGCGTAGAGCGTTTGAATTACCCAGTGACCGAAAACATGACTGATCAATGAATCAGTCGATAATCAATACAATACGAGAAACTGCAAGGATATCCGAATTCCAAGATATAGCCTTGAAGATATGAAAATAGGCTTTCACTATTCAGCTCTTACTGCGTGCAAAACATCCATATCACTATCATGGAAGTACCATCCCTCTCACATTTCTAAAGAGAACATCCAAAGAGCTGAATTATACATGAAACATGACTCCTTGGAAGAGCACCAAATAGGCCTTAACAGAAACTACTTCTACTCCTGTAAAGATGTATAAAGTTATACTTTAGCTTGTATTTAACTTATATTTTTCTTATACTGAAGGAATTTTATGTATTGAATAATTTGATATGAAGTATGAATACATATATGAATGTGAAACCAAAAACTAAGTCAACATACCATTAATTATCTGCTCTACACATTCATATTTATTTTCATCAGAATTTGTAAAATAGGATATTAAAGTACCACAGCATGCTTTTTTGGAAGAGTTGTTATAACATTACGTAGAAAGTTCCCATTTTTATAGGTATTAATGTTAACACTTCTTTGTACTACCATTTGCCAATCGTAAATTTTCGTAATCTTATCAGATATTCTGTAATGCAGAGGTGGTATATTTAGGACAAGTTCTTATCGGGAAGGGTATGAAGCTACATTTCTTGCCCGATAATGAAAAAAAGACAAAATTAATTGATTATAAAAAGACTCTTATTAAAAAAGGTTTCGGCTTTTCAATCAATTTGACCAACATTTGTTACTGATAAGATTACAAAAGTTTCCTAGTATGATTTTAATATCCACCCTTTATTTCAATTTCCACCAAGTTTTCATTTAGCCTTCATTTCATAGTCTATGACACATCTTTTTATGATTCTTCTTCCATTTGAATACCTATGAAATTCAATAGAAATTGGTTTTTTTCTTCAGCCTTGGATGCCCTATGTCTCGTTAAGATCTATGATGTTTTCGAGGACCTTGCAGCAGGGTTCCAAATCGTCATCACATCTAATCCAAACAGGTACGTTTGATATAATGTTATAATTTCCCTATAGATTGAAATACCCATAGCGGGAGAAAAATCACTTCCTTTCTGTCAGGTTGAAAAAATGATGTCCTTCCATAATCACCTGGACAGGTGAAATAGTTAACTTTATTTTTCATCTTTCATTGACATTTTCGCATTTGATAAAGATAACTTCTAAAGAAATCTCCTTTGAAGTAAGCCAAAAGCTCTTCTGACGCCTCATCTCTATAAAGCCCACATTATCAATAGGCCTCTTTCCATATTTTCCTATCACCTCTATTTAACAAATCCCAATCTAGGCTTTCTAAAATTCTATAAGCCTAGAGCTTTAACGGTGTTAGAGCTACCCTGGAGGCTGCCATCCATGGGAGAATCTCGGCTTCGACAGCAATTAAAAGTCCCCTTGGTACGCGTAATGTACCGCGATTCACAGACCAGAGATCTTTATTTAAGTATTTAAGTATGCTTCCCTGGCAAGATATTTACTGATGCAATTTTGTTATCTAAAATTGAATTATTTTACAAAATGAAAGGCTTTCTGAAGACTTCCTTGTGCTAACTGGGGTGAATCTGAACCAAAACCGCATTTATTTAATTATTTTCACATGTGGCGGCTATCTTATTCGTGTTTGACCTAAAGAAATGACCCAGGGGCTATCAACATGTATCTTGGAAGTAGACCTTGAGCTTCAAACCTTCTTGCACCTAAAAGCACCGCATACAAGCGATATATAGAAGTTCTTTCCAACAGAAGTTGGGAAAACATGCCGCAAATGCGCGACAGCGACTCTGTAGGTCAGTGGTGTCCAACATACGACCCGTGGGCCAGTTGTGACTCGATAGGGCATATTTTGTGGCCCGTTTTAAGTCAATAAATTTCTCAATAATTTGGTCCTTGAGCTATGTCTATGCAGTGCTATCCCTAACAACATTGTTGTCTCTTTATAAAGCATACTTTCTCATTATAAGGCGTATCTTCTCGTTATTAGGCATATTTTCTCACTATAATAAGCAGACGTCTATTACGAAGCTGAACAGCAAAAGTCAAAAGCTACAATCCAAACATACAGACAATCATATCCCACATCAGCTACAAGTTTAATGTGTGATGTGAATAAACTATCTGCAAACAATAAATGTAATATTTCACACTGATAACGTTTTCATGCTACTGTCTATGTATCTTTTCTTTTAATTTTTCATGCAAATGTAATTGTTAATCCGTTTTCAGTTCCATACAAAATTTGCCGATGATTTTCTTAATTATCAATCTGACGCCCTTGTGCAGTAAGATTTTGTCTATGGCCCACCCAAAAAACATTGTTGGCACCCCTGCTGTAAGGCTCTGCTAATGGGCTAGCGGTCGCGCTTTCAAATTTATGTCAGAAGCAAAGATGTTTGAAGATCGTTCCTTGTAATATCCATGTATAATGCATCACTAACTTGAATATGGTTTCTTGTAAAGCTTTTGCCGAACGATGCAACATTTGTTGCATGGATTTGCAATCCAAATAATGGTGGGAGACCAGATGATGTCACATCCGGTGAAACGTTTAGAAAGGGACTGGGATCCAGTCACTGATTGTATTTTACTCCTCGTTGTCTGGAGTTTTTTTAAGTTTAGCGAGAAATTGTCTACTCGAGTGAAGCCATTGAGAACTAAAGCTACCTCAGTCAACTCTTTTTTAACTAATAGATTCCGAAGTCTATAAAATTAACACCGTTTTAAGGTATCGGTTTGATATCAGTTATGATATTAAAAATTACCTTCGCTTCAAACCGGACTAAACTTACCATGTCAATTTAGAGTTTGTTGGTTGGCTTTATCTTGGTTACTCAAGTTAGATTTGGAAACAATTGTAAGGAAATAGTTTGGGAGAAGACGATGACTTGTGAAGGAAACAGTATAGAAGAAGGATAGGAGGCTTGTGAAGCAGAAGGAACTGGCAATGTAAATGGCTGATAAAGTTCTAGATATTTTTGGGAAATAGTGAGAGCTATGTATTATCCCTTATTTTATTAGGCACAATGAAATTCAAAATCTAGAAAATGAAGGTATATAAGATTAACGCCGATTTTCAAGTTCCACACAAATTTTCTAGTGCGTTAACATCCTAGAACCATGTACGAAAAATTCCAGCAAGGATATTTGAAATAAAGATGCAACATATGTTGCATGATGCAAGCAACATGGGTGGCCAAACTAAGCAGCAGTAAGTTTACGATAATTGTTGCAGCAAATGCTACTTTGCTTGACCGTGGCTTAAGATCTTTGTTTCAAATAAATCTTTTTCTTTTAGTGGAACTTGTCAGAGCGTTGCTGAATTTCAGAGTTATGTGCCCGAGGTAAATTTTATTTTTCGTAGGCAATCAACAAAAACTGAAATGGCTTGAGTCTTCTGTCAGTCAACTATTGACCAATCAATAAGCGCTGGGTAGTATCACGCTTTGTTGATTGGCCAATTAGTGATTGACAGACGGGTCAAGCCACTTTAGTAACTTATTGAATGTGCCTTTACCGAATGTGCCTCTGCACCAATTCAACTATGCCTTCATGTGTCATTAAATTCGAATAAGACAATGCTATGCGAAAATTCATGCCATTTTTGAGATATTTTATCAATTGCTTAAATCATTTCTTGGGAGGAGTAAACAAACTGGCCATTTTTTGGCATGAATAGTGGGGATACCGCTCTTATAACTGTACTTTAAAGTGCAGGAAACCGTCGGATCTGTTCCGAATCCCATTTCTCCATTGCCTGTTTGTACGCCTTTCTGTTGTATGTTCAGGTTTAAACAAAGGAATCGTTGGACATTTTGTAATCATTAATCAATTGAAGCATTTCTCAGCCATACTTTTTCAGAATAGATGGTCAGGAATTTTCCGAATTTTCCATCCTCTTATTTGTTAATATGTTGCGGATATATGCATGGAAACTTGCAATAATTCTTTGTTTAGTTGTTTTATTTGAAAAGTTCAAGTGCTTTCTTCAGGCTTGATTAAATCTTTCCCTCTCTATAACTACCCTGCGTTTTTGCAAATCTATAAGCAAAATTTGGAAACCCATACTTCATTTCGCCCAATGACACTCAGACTTTTATCCAGAAAATCCTATGTTGAAAATTCAGAATAAACCTTCTAATCCAATGGCTTCATTTACAGATGACCGATTAAAAGGGCTTTTGTTTGAGGTTACTAAAACATCAGTGTAAAATTAACATATTAGTTCCAAAGATGTCACAAAGAGACAGGCATGTCTGTCGTGGTTTTGCCGTCTTTATACGTTGGACGAATTTAATATAGCCTGTTCCAGATTTAGCCGCGCGGAATTCTTAGAGCAATGCTTCGTATAAAGTTATCAGAAGCAAATCTTCCTCAATAGATAATTAGAAACAAAGCACTGTGAAAAACTGAGAAGACGACAGCCATGTACGAAACAGAAATATCGATTCCCAACACCCCTTTCAGCCCTATTTCAAGGACAAATCTTTTCGGTGATAGGGTCCATTCCTATCTTACAAAAATTCACCAGATCTTCTAATAGCACGGCTTCACGGTGCTTCTCCTGTTGTTTTGCTTGGAAGACTGTTTGTTTCTCAAAGCCTCGTGCGTACTTCTTTCCGATCTCGTTTCCGATCTCATCATGCCTTGTAATGATGACACATCACAAGGCACTAGAACCCAGGATATTTAGGGCCTCGTTACAATCAGATTACGAGGGTATGTGAAGATTAATTCTGTTTCCTTTGTGAAAATTAATATCTTCTGCCTTATCTTTTATATTATGTCACTGACTGTTCATTCCTGTGGTGCTTTTACAAATTTTTTTGGTTAAATGTTCTTGTCAATTTCTGTTCTTGCTTCCCGAACAGAAAGAAGTTAGAAATTTGTTACGAGCAAAACTTCGCAAGAAAATTGATGTACCGGAATTCCTTTGATGTATGAAAAAAGAGAGTTTTAAGCTTCCAGGCCCAACTTCACGCTAAACACGAGTATCAGACTACTCTTTGCATTGCTGTCTTGATATGCGCTCCCAATCGTGTAGAGCATTTTCTAAACAGCATCGCACAACCCTTAACAGTAATCTTCACTGTATTAACATTTTTCCAGTTGGTAAAGCCCATAATCTAAAAGTTGACTCCCTAATCTACATCATATTTTACTTCTAATGTTGTTTTGTTAATTATCACTTTACTATTTTGTTTTGTTAAGGAGCGGGTTGTCGATGGTCCTCCGCAACGACCAGGTCAACTAGCTGTAGTCTGTGACACGATGCTGCAAGGACTTGGCAAATACTTAAGATGCTGCGGGGTAAACACTGTGATTCTGCAAAATGGCGATGATCATATGCATGCAGTTGAGGTTGGTTTTTTCAGTGGGATCTTCATATCATGAAGACCTTTTGCATGTGCTATATGCAACTTCTAGAAGCCACACCCGCGACCACACCCATGGCCACAACCCCTATACTTTTAAAAAAGAAAGTAGAAAAAGAAAGAAGAATTTTTTGTTATAAAATCAAGATTTGGTCGCCAAGAGGCCCATAAGCCTCCATGAAAGCCAAAAAACGAAGTAGATATTTCGTTTTTTTTCTGAATATGTAAATTTTTTGGTAAGGACATATCTATTGTTTGGTAAATCTGACATTTGGGGGCATTGCCCGTGACCGTTATTGTCTTTTCGTTTTTGTTCTGAAAAGAAACACGACCAAAAAGTGATATGCAGCTTTCAGCAAGTAACACAATTTCAACAAATTGTGATTTTTACTTCGCCTGCAACTAACTTGTTTTAAACCCTGTTAGACTCGGTTTTTGTTTTTATTTTGTCTTCGTAGTCCGCTTAGAAGCCCTTGTAGCATTTTTCCCTACTTTGTTCACAATAAACTACTGCTGTTAAAGAAAGATTAGCACTTTTGTTCATTTATCGAAGATTTATACTCTAACTTTTGCTCATCCTTAAGTCGTTTGTTTTCAGTTGTACTACAAACAGAAAAGGGTTATTCTTACTCGTGGAAAAGCATTTAACCAGGTATGACAAACTCGCTGTTTCCATGGCAGCAAACAGAACTTTCAGAAACACTCAAATTTTGCTCAAATTTTTCACATTTAATTTTGTGGCTATCGAAGCAAGATTTCCCTCATTAGTCTGAAGACTGGGTGTTTTTGGGAGTATTTCAACATGGGCTGTGGGTGCGGCTTATAACCGAGACCGACTTACATTATTTTAGAAACCCAATTCACTGCGGCTTATGACCGAGGGCGGCTTACATTATTTTAAAAACCCAATTCACTGCGGCTTATGACCGAGGGCGGCTTACATTATTTTAAAAACCCAATTCACTGCGGCTTTTGACCGAGGGCGGCTTGTAAACAAGGGCGGCCTATAATCAAATATATACGGTAAATCTGTTTCAGTTTTTTTTCATACATCTTGCTAGCTTAGATCATCCTTAAGTCTACCCCTCTCAACCAAAAAATTTCATTACAATGTGGTTATTACCATTAAATAGATATACCGTATTGTATTAGCGTTATAGCGTTGTCCTCTGCTGCTCCAACATAGATGAATTACATATATTGAATACTTTTCTGAAATTATATTTCTTTTTTCTTTTATTTGCAATATCATTCTTATGAATTTAATTTGATAGATTCGGGCCTATGTTCCGGAGAAAATGTGCATGTGTGTTCCTGAAGGCACAAATGCAATTCAGGTTGCCGCTGTTCTCGGGCGCTACAACGTACGGGTGACGTCAAAAGATATCTTTAGCAGGTGTCAGGTATGGACCCAGATTACGAAAATTCTTCCCATTGATCCTTGTTTTTCATCATGGAACTTTGCTCCCACTGAAGAAGTCCAAGACCAGTACGGGGGGGGGTGGGTGGGGTTATGGTTATCCGCCACTGTAGCCAAAAAAAGATCTGATTTTTTTAAAAAGAAGATATAAAGAATGAATTGTGGGAAGGTATTATTTCTTTATTTTTCACTAAGCAGCGCGTCTGAAACGTACGTCACATTAAAATGTTGCAGTAATGGGCGTTTCTGTAGGTAAAATTTATTCTGTTACAGATCACATTTTTGTTATGTATTAAGAAGGAGTAGAGGCTTAAAGAAATACCAGCATGTAGGTTAATGCAAAGAGATTGTATTGCTTTTTGATTTAAGATAAGAATGATCTTAGCAATTCTAAAATTCTGTGGATAAGAATTTCTACTTCCACCCATAGTTATGCAACGGTGACAAGTACTTGACAGTGAAAAAAGAACACATGCTTTTAGCCTTCTGGAAAAAGACGAGGGTCAGGCCGAAAGAAAGCTTTTTAATCCAGCATAACCTGCATCATCTCCAGGATAGCCAAAAAAATGAAACTGGTATCGATTTTCATCACATGATAATTGGCAAAGGCGCTTCTTTGCAATGTGAGTTTATTCCTCCTCAAATTTTTGATAAAGTTGAAACATTTTTTGTTTGTGAAAGTTGCGGCAAGGTTTATTGGGAAGGTTCGCATTTTGATAAGATAGCTGACCAGTTTTCGCACATCATCGTTGACAGTGGTGAAGACGATCGGAGATCATTTTACGACCAGATGCAGACTTAGGAATCGTGGATTTGCTATTGATACCAAAGCGTCAGGTTTGTGCTGGCTACATTTATGGACAGCCTGGCTTTGGTTGTGAAAACTAAATTTGGCGAAGCTGACTTCAAGTGGCAAAATGCACATTCTAGTAGATGGCCAAATCCGGTTTGGTCGCCCAGTTGATATTGCGTTGTAGAAGACAAGTGTTCTCTTATAGGCCAAGAAATCCTGGTGGCTAGAGTTTGATTCCTTATTTCGAATGTAAGCCACGTATTGGTAACTTATTCCATACTTTAATTCACACATGCAGTACTTCAGGTGGTGCCTCCTAGTCATGCCTCCTAGTCATGCCTCCTAGTCATGCCTCCTATTCATGCCTCCTACGTTTGCATAAATCATGGTATTTTGTAATACGACTTTGATCAATTTTTCTTTTTGAATTTTGCCTGGACTTCAAAGTAGTTAGTAACTGGATTAAAATACCTGTATTTCTTGGTACACCCTAGCGATTTAATTGAGAATCCTCAGAACAAACAACATTGAAACAAACAGCCTTGAGACAAGCGCTCTGTGCAGTGTTCATATTTTAAACTACATTTCTTCAAGGCAGACATGTTGGGTTTAAATGCCATGAAACAAATATCCTTGAAACCAAACCTCAGAACAAACGGCTCTGAAACAAACGTCATCGAAACAATATACCTTGAAGCAAGTATCCTTATGTTAAACAACATTTGCTCGAGGCAAAAACCGTTGGGTTAAATTGCCTTGAAACAAACATCCTCGGAACAAATGGCCTTGAAACAAACATCCTCGGAACAAATGGCCTTGAAACAAACATCCTCGGAACAAATGGTCTTGAAACAAACATCCTCGCAACAAATGGCCTTGATACAAACATCCTCGCAACAAATGGCCTTGATACAAACATCCTCGGAACAAATGGCCTTGAAACAAACATCCTCAGAACAAACAACCTTGAAATGAACATCTTCAGAACAAATGGCCTTAAAACATAAAAGAAACGCTTTATCCAACATCCTTAGCTTAAAACAGACAAACTTCCTCTAAGCAAACATCCTTGAAAAGATTTTCAGGCAAAAATCTACGAAAATGGGCTGCTTTGAAACAAAGTTTCTTCAAGCAAACATCCATATAAAACAACCTTGAAATGATTAATTGTAGACCGTTTTCAAATAAGCGCTCCATTTTTTTAAATTTTAAATTCGAAGGAATTTGTTTAAAAGTATAATTGTTTGATCAACTGTTTAGGATGGTTAAGACAGTTTCTTGCAATGTATTTCAACCATTCAGTTTTAATTAAGGTTAAACTTATAACAAAGGCGAGATACAAGATGCCGATCTTGAATGATCAAGCAAGCAACCCCTAATTAAAAATACACTGTGCCTGATCAGATCATATTCAAATACTTGTCAATCAATGTGATATTCACTCTGAAACTTCACATTATCTGAGATTCGTTATTTTAGGCAGTAAGATGCATAAATCATGTTGGCTTTCTTTGTTGATGCCATTCTGTCCCTTAGTAAGATTCTTCCTACCTATTCTGGGCACAGATGCACGCTATTTGTTCTCCAGTTTGTACATAGCACAGCTTTGCGGCTGACACTCTTCGGTGTCTAAAACGACAGAACATAGAGATGTAAAACTCATCTTGATTTTGCCATCGGGCAGCATTTACTGGTATACCCAGACTGTGCCAAAAACGTTATGGTGACATGTTTCAGATTATTGGTATACCCTGGTCGTCTTTCTAGCAGTATCATCGTTTCTTATTGAATATTTTCTTTGTAATGTGTATTTACCTGGGCAACCTAGGTTAATCTAAAAGTTTATCAAAATTTGGAAACGTCTTTATGGCACATTTTCAATCAACAGCATTAAGATTTTAAAACTGAATTTAAAATTGGTTCAAGCAAATATTTCTTAAAATGGAAATGAATAGTAGCTTTTGTGATGAATAATAGTTTAAAAAATTATACGTTTATTCATGAATTTGAAAATGGCTTTGAAAAAAGCAAACATTTTACAACATACTTAAAGCTTTTTCGTCTGACACTCCTCAGAGCATAAAACGTCAGAATAGGTTCCGAAAAACATTTGTTTTTCGGAACCTATTCTGACGTTTTATGCTCTGAGGAGTGTCAGACGAAAAAGCTTTAAGTATGTTGTAAAATGTTTGCTTTTTTCAAAGCCATTTTCAAATTCTGTACCGCAAAAAATTATTCATGAATATTTTATTTGTTATTTTGGTTTTGAGGAACATTACTTTATTACTTTATCTTTAAACTTTTAAAACACGTTATCTCATTCTAAGGCTCTATAGTTTCTATTTGATGGTTTGAGATCGTTTTTTCTCTAGTTTATGATTTGAGATCGATTTATCTTTATCCAGTTTATTGATTTGATTCTCTGGCACATCTCAATCACTTTTCTAAAATTGTTTCTCTCTGTTTCTTGTATTTTCCTTGTACTTTCATTTACTATGCTTAACATTGTTTTGCTTGATCATATTTCTTCGCAAAGTTGGCATATATGTTTAAGATATTTTCTGTGTCAATGGTTTTTCTGGTAAATCATGATCTTGACGATTGAATTTGGTCTGCCATATTGGTGTCTTGGACTTCTGCATTAAAAAGCATTGCAAAGTAATAATAATCATCATCAGTATTACTTTGTGTGAAAATATTGTCCTACTGCATATTTCTATATGTCGCTCCTCCCAGGGGCGGATCCAGAGCAAACTTGAAGGAGGGGCAGTTGGTAGTGGGGGCGCTGAAAAATTTTCAACATCTTCAACAATACAACAACTTCAGATCCATCTTCGGAATAAACAATATAACTTTGAAGTAATCCTTGAAGCAAATTAACCCGTCAGTCTCGGAAACTTTTCACCTGATTCTCATTCTTCAAAAGGGGCACACAATTTCCAAAAAAGGGGCGCCATACTTGCTTCAACTCGTCGAGGGAGGGGCAACTGCCCTTAGTTGCCCCCCTCCCCCCCTTAAATCCACCACTGGCTCCTCCTAAAACTCATGTACGTGACTGCATTTTCGGTGCCTTGCTGTGTAAATGTTTTCTCTCACGATGATAAACTATAAAGATTGCATGTGTGACACTTAGCTGCGTGTCCAGTATCCTTGTGGATAACCATAACAATTTGGAATTTAACGGTTTGATTTACCGACAAGTTAACAGCTATGAATTAATTGAGTTTCAGCTGGTTTAAGATCTTTAAGGGCGTGAGATTTTTGCTTCTCCACATTGTAGTTGGCTGTTAACATCCATCGGAAGACTGGATTTATCTCAGAATTTCCCGCCCTCTTTCAGCACTATGCTGACCTTTGTTAAGGCGCGAATGTTCTTTGGCGGGTGCTTTGTTGAGTTCGATTGATTTACCAGGCTCTTGGCAGGTGCACGCAATGTCTATGTGATAATCTGCGCAATCAGCAACGACCTTTTTTGCGAGTGTTAGAATTTGCGAAAAGGGCACCATATGCTTTAGATAGCCAGAGAATAGATATTTTAATTCGCTGGGTGTCAGCTGGATGTCAGGTATATAAAGCTGTCATAAGACTTTTGAGCCTAGCTAATGCCCTTCGCAGCTTGGACATCGATACACGATGTTTGGCAAGGGATGACGATAAAGCTATATGTGAATTGTCACTGTATTGACTTCTATAATGTTGTTGAATTGTTTTGCATAAGGTAACATCATCAATAGCATAATGACTGGATATATGCCTTGTTTGGAAAGAGGCACAGTTGCGATTCACCAAAACTTATTTTTAGAATTTTTCACTTTTGATCCCGTAATATGAAATAGCATCATTAAATACCTCTTAATGTGCAAAATCAGTAGAATGTACAAATTGGAGGAGATATGGCCACATGAGTACAGGCTCTTGCCCCCATCAAACCTCTGTATATTCGTCACCAGGCCAGAATAACAGTAAGGGCTGATTTATACGTCGTGCTTTTCTCGTGTTGAATCAATTATTTGACCTTGAAAATGTTTAAATGTCCATTTGGCTCGACGGTAGCACGACGTATAAAGTGAATCGATTCACTAACTCTTAATTGACTCGAATCAAATACAAAGCTCGAGTGACTTGGCCGTGCTACACGACTAAAGCACGGCTTCGATTTAAACGTCGCGCTTAAGTTGAGTCAAATCGAATTGATTTGTTTCCAGCCCGACAAATTTACTCCTTGCACATGCGTAGTGCTACCATTTTAGGCGCGAAAAAGTTACACGAAACTGCCTTGGAGTTCTGCTTCACCGTTATCTCTTCAAAAGAATGGATCTAGAAAATTAAAACACAAAATACAGGTATGGTTTTTTGGGGCTGAAAGTGAGGAAGAAACATCATTGGGAAAAGAAAGTGAAGAGGGGAAGAATAACATAGACAGTGAAAGTGAAACCGAGTCCAAAAAACCGAAGGTATCCAAGAAGATGACCCTGCATATGAGGCCACTTTTGTCTCAGACATACAGAAAAGCATATGGACCTGTGTGACTTTTCACATAAGCACCTTCTCATCCTTAGTCACATTCGTCTCAGATATAAGTTCATTCCGTCAAACCCATGTATAGAAAAGCATATGGACCTGTGTGACTTTTCACATAAGCACCTTCTCATCCTTAGTCACATTCGTCTCAGATATAAGTTCATTCCGTCAAACCCATGTATAGAAAAGCATAAGAACCTGTGTGGCTTTTCACATAAGCACCTTCTCATCCTTAGTCACATTCGTCTCAGATATAGGTTCATTCCGTCAAACCTATGTATAGAAAAACATATGGACCTACATAGTACTTTGATTGAAACAGCTTCTCGTCTTCGGCCACATTCGACTTTGGCATGCGTTCAGTACGTCAAACACATGTAGTGGAAATCATATGGACCTACATAGTACTTTGACATAAGCAGGTTCGACTCTTCGGCCATATTCGACTTAGGCATACGTTCAGACAGAACATCAAACTCGTGTAAACCAAAACATCGGATATGTTATTTGAAATTAACTGCCTTAATGTCAATAAACACTAAGTATTAAGAGTTGTCATTGATATCAATCATGCGCAATTTTATTTAACTCTTGGATGCCAGATTTTTGAATACTTTTCAATCACCTTTCTTTTCATCCTGTCCGGATTTTTTAGATATATTTTTCTCTGATTTATATTGCTGCAATGTTGCTTCGATTTTTCGATCAAAATTTGTGCATTATTTTCTTGTCAATATACACTTAGATTTGTTTAAGTTTATGTTAATCCTGCTCTGTTCGTCAAACCACATAATATCTTTTAACGCTATAATCGTTCAGGGTTACTCGTCTCTGACGATAAAACATCCCCTATGAGCATGAATGGCTTGTCAATGAAAAATTAAGCGAGCATTTTTCACACAGCTTGAAAAACCCACTCTTCATTTTCATCGACTTTCAATAGCCATAACTGGTTTATAAAAAAGCGTGGGAACATCACCGAAGATAAAAAAGTTCTTGATGGGAAAATGTATTTGTAAAAGAGATCATTCATCAAAGTAGGGAACTGTAACTACGTGCTCATTTTTATCTGGAACACACAGGGCGTTGTACGTTTGGTTTTATTTTTCACTCGATTCTATAGCATTCCCAAGTTGAATATTGTCCAGCTCAAAATATTCACCAAAATATTGAGTTCAATTTTGTTTGGATTGGTATTGGAGCAAACGGGATGCTTGCCATCTGAAACAAGGGTAGTGATTCACTTATCCGGAGAAAGTGGAGCCCTGCACAGGAGCAAATAGGCTCGTAGCGATGCTCCCTCTTTCGAAAAAAATTTAATCCCTTTCCTTTGTTATTACTTAACTTGAATTGCTATACTATTTCTCGTCCATTTAAACTCTTCCAGTATTGGTTGTCTACAATCTCTGATTTGATAATACCAGTGTATTCTGAATATTTTTATTTGACTTTCCCCCCATACCTTGAATACTTTGCTCTCCTGTTATATTTAAACCCCCAGCTTTCACATCTAAACCCCAGCTGGGACATCTAAACCCCAGCTGGAACATCTAAACCCCAGCTGGAACATCTAAACCCCAAACTTGGACATCTAAACCCCAGCTGGTACATATAAACCTCCAGCTGGTACATCTAAACCCCATCTGATTTATAATGATTCAGTCCAATTCGTTGCTTATTTCTTTCACGGCACTGACGACTAGATCCTATGTTTTTCCAATCTACTTTATCATCTGCAATTACATCATCGTCATCATCAGTCACACAAAATATTGAATGGGGCGTCAAGTATCATCTTGAAAATGTGCGAAGATTGAAGATTTTCAGTTTGAGATACTGCAACCACCTTTTAATTTAACAGTAGCTCCGCTCCTATGATAGAAAAATTTTCAGCGGGGCTGAAATTTCTTCAATGCAACTGCAAAAGAGTATTTTTGTAACTATGGTTTGATGAAGACAGTTATTTGATTTGAACGAACCGAGCAATCTACAGCGTGTTGTTGCTCAAATGGAATATGGGATTTACAAAGAAGGGGTTAAAAAGCGTATTTTACACGTGTTTTTTATGAGAAACTAAAGTCCGGGGCTGGTAGGCAATTGTTTAATTCTTCTGGCCATTTTGCTATCAAAAGTTTCTTACATATTTCTTGAATTTCTTAGGTAATAAATTTTTTAAACCTGCTTCTAAGGTAAAGTAAATAGTTCACTCACATTCAGAGATAAACTGACAAAGTGATCAATGAATTTTGCTTTCCTAGAATGACTAACTCTGTTGAGATCTGTAAACAGTTAGGCTCATTGAACTTCATCAATATCAAGTTGAAGTCGAAACAATATTTTTAAATTGAAACTTCTTGAGTGTGCAATTTACTGAGAATGAATCAAACTGCATGTCAAGTGTAGTGTTGCAATATACAGTGATGTTCAATGTCAAGACTATTTCGAGTGCCGACTCGGAAAATTAAAACTCCAAATTATA